TATGAGACAGAGCAGAATTGAGGGCTTGGGGTAGGGGTAGGGGTAAGGGTAGGGTTAAGGTTAGGGGTAGGGTTAGGGGTAGGGTTGGGGGTAGGGTTAGGGGTAGGGTTAAGGGTAGGGTTAGGTCTGGGCCTCTTCTTTATTGCGTTTGATGGGGTGGTCGCTCGTTACGGAAGTCCTTCCCAGAAAAGGCCATAAAATATTGGTTTATACATAAAAGCCAATAATGCAAAACAAAGTTAACAAGAGTGGAACTGGCATATGTTTCCTGAATCTATTATCTATTTGTGGTGGCCGAATTTTGCTATTCAAAAGGCTTTTTAATGGCTGCATCGATCGACATGCGGTTTTCGCCAAAATATTCTTTAAAATATTCTCCAGAGCATGGCGCCCTTGGTTTTTTCAGTTTTGAGACAGTTTTGCTGCAAAAAGCAAAATTTCTTTATTTCGCCGATCACTTTTGTAGGCCGACGCTTCTGTCTCTGTAATTTTAGAAAATCCGGAAGTGATATTTCGCGAGGCGCGTTTTGTTTTGAGAGTATAGATCTAGACCTTATAATTTTTTGCATCTCTCAAGATTTATTGCCCCATTCCATTAGAGTGTAAATATAGTAGGCCAATGACTTTTTTTAGTTGATATTAAAGCACCGGCATAGACGGTCAGAGAACGGTTAGTATAAGAACGTATAGGCACCGTCGATCATTCCTTTCATCGAAAGGGGGCGCAGCTAGTAGATTATATGTTCAAAGTCATTTTCGGTGTGTTGGGAGTGTGATTTCTAATGCATGAATGATAGGCTCATTCAGATGTGATAATGAAGAAACTTGTGTCTACAGTCACAACAGAAAGAGTTCCATGGTGTGTGATCACTGGTCAAGGATTTCAGCGCTGTGTGCATTTTGAGAAAAATGTATCCCCATACCCTGGATCACATGTCGAGGGGATGGGCTTGTCCCCCTGTAATCCCCGCACACAGTAAACAAACACATATTTTTGAACATGAATATATAAGAAAAAATAAGTGGTCTCTTGTTACGGATCAAATTGAAGTTCTGTTTCAATTCGATTAATTGATAAAAGTGCGTATCGCAATGCGTTGGCCACCCCTGCCCTATAGGCCTATGGTATTTAATAAATACATTCGTCAGACCTGGAATCTTTAATGCCCGCGCACAGTAAACAAACACACATATTTGAACACGTATAAAAAAAAATAAGTGGTCTCTTGTTACGGATCAAATTGAAGTCTTGATACAATTCAATAATTGATAATAGCGCGCATTGCAATGCATTGGCTAACTCAGCATTATACGCTATTTAATAATACATTCGTCAGATTTGGAATCTTAAATTATAATCATAATTATATGTGCCCGCGCATGGGTAGTGAAAGTGAAAGGAATTAAAATTGCTTTCAAAAACAGTTATGAAAGTAACACAATTAAAGTAGGACTACATGTGCTTATAAAGGCCCAAAAAGGTGTATGGATGTGGAAATGAATGTTTCGGATGAAAATAATACGCTATCTCTACTACTGTAGCATGCGGTCAAAATTTAGATGCGCAACTTATTATCAAATATCTAGGCTACTGAACTATCGAACAACTAGATCTAGATTCTCCTACTTTTACACAATGACTTAGATCTATATCAATTCGTCTTAACCAATGGGTATTTTTTTCAAACATTTGTACACATCTATAGGTTCTATATTATTCTAGAAATTTCTTTAAAGAAAATTCTTTAATAAATACTAGCCCAATATTTTTTTTTAAAATCCCAGTCAGTGGTTTCTACAGTTTATAGTTATAGCTGAATCTCTTGTAAAAGCAAGTCCGTCCTTTTTTCTACTTCTGCTGGCGACATAAAGCTAATTATTGAACGCATGTTTTGAGAACATTAAATTAGATCTAGTGAAAAAATATGTTCAGTGTAAAACAAATTTCTTGTAACAGGTTTTGCTACTAAAAAATTACGTAGGCCATATGCGTATGCAAAATGTGTGTGAGAAGCTAGAAGTGCTGTGAACAATCCCATCCGTGTTACGAATTTTTTCACAGTTCTGTAGATCTTATATTTATAAACTCTCTATGTCTGCTGTTTCTGTTGTTGAACCCAAAAACACAACAATTTAAAACCTTAATTCCAATCTCTAGGGTGCACAGTGAATTCTGTAACTCAAAATTACAAACTTGACAGTAAATGTTCCATTTTTCACTCGTTTGTAAAAGCCGCTCTTGCTTTAAAAGCTATAGGGTTACTTCCGAAAACGACAAATCGTGCCCTCAAGACGCCATTGTTTTCGGTCTTCAATTCCTCACAGGTCACGTGGTACAGTTCCCGTTCTATAGGTGTAGAATTATGTGGTTGACACTTACTTTCTAAGCAGGAGATCCCGTTATAGTACAGGGAGGGGAGGCACAAACATGTGCCAGTTTCATTATCACACTGAAGATTTTCGGCACATTCATCGTCCGGCCTACACGTCTAGTTAAATTGTTGATGGCATGGCAAGTTGACTGATGCTTCGTTCATGTTTCAAAACATGTTTTTGTTTAAATAAAAGTGTCCTGTGATTGGGTAGACGTGGAGAGAAACAGATGCTAAAGTCAACCTAAGGACAGGACAGCATTCAGTCAGGGAATACACATATCAAGGCTTGATTTTAAATTACTAGAGGGAGGGAAATAATTCTGATTTAGCTGAATATACATAAGACTAAATCATGAAATAAAAACACCAAAGCATCCTTGTTCATTATAAAACATTTCTCCAAACTTAAGTGCTTTACTAAATAACATATTCACAAGTGGAATAAATAAAGGAATAACCATATTAAAACTACTCACTTAGGCTAGATCTATACTCCTATCCAGGGAAGAGAAAGACTTTTTAAAAATCATCAGCATTTATATTGAGAGAGAAACACTTGGTACTCAAATTTACAAGAGACAACTAGACATCGGAATAATACTTTCAAACGTTCTCCTCGGTAGTAAGGGCATAAAACAGAAAAGAACACAGCAAAGAAAAGTCTTGAAAAAGTGTTTCTCTGTCTGTTCACATCAGGACTGCCTTAAGCTTTCCCTCAACCACTCATGTTATGTCACAGAGCATCTTGTGTTCTACTTCTACATTAGTTTATTATCTCTTCTATGCAAATAAGGAAAACAATTTTTTTTTGGTCAGCACTTTTCATTTTTAGACTTACAGGGTACCAATATTTCAACAACACAGAGTTATAATTACAAAATGTTTGTCAGTAAATGCAATTAGAATTAAAACGAGCAACATACATTAAAAATAAGTTCTTCTCTGATTGGTTAATCAATTTGGTGAATTTAAAAAATCAGTTATATCTATGTTAGTGAAAAAAATCCCCTCAGGAAATTGTCCTCATTAGTAAACATGTGGACAGGGGACTGGGTTATTATTGTGCAGTACAGACTTACTTTCCACACAAAGATTCCCATTATAGTACTGGAGAGATGGGCATTCACACAAATATCCTAGTAGGTTATGGGTCACAAGTGTCCTTGTGCTGTTTCATTGTTGATATTTGTATCAGTTTTTGTGTGAAATCGTGACAACAGAGAGGAGTTTTGGTAAAAAGTATACTGACCATAGGTGCACTGTGGTGTACAACTATAAATAGGTATCAAGACCCTATACCTAAATACATTAGGAAGTTTGCATCATATCTTCGACTTCACTAGCTTATTAGTTTTAGTAAGAGTTTTACGGCACTTGCGAGACATTAAGGTCATTTAAGTGCCAAAGATTAGAGGTGCTGCAAGAGAGGAACAAACAACATTCAGTTCATTTAGTAAATGTTCGCCATAAATTCCCCTTTGTAAACAGTGCACTTACAAATACATGTATAACATGGATTAGATACAAGTGTTGAAATACTACTCTGACATGACCAACTCAAGTGGGTGGATGGCCACGACAACTTCCAAAATCAGCAAAGTTCAAGAACAACAGGATGACTTGGTGTGCACCAGTACATGAAAGCAAAAGCCGGTTATAGGACTGAAAATGCAAACATACAAAAAGCTACACAGGGAAATTCAAAGGCATGATAACAGACATACCCATTTCTTTTTAAAAAAATAGATCTAGGTGCTTCCACTAAGGTTCAAGAAGGGAGAGGTAAGTCAGATTCAGGAACATTTGAACCTTCAAGGAAAGGGAGGACTCGTTTTGTTTCAGTAAGACTTTTACGGCCCTCGCAAAACATTTAGGTCATAAAAGTGCTGAAGATTAGAGGTGTTCGAGAGAGTAACACACGTGCTCATAGAAAAGAAGAGTCCGATATAAGGACGATAGACCTTCAAGAAAAGAGGAAGAGAGGACTGTAAAGGAGGAGACAGAGGCAGCATGTCGACAAGAGGCTTAATATATAATATATATATATATATATATATATATATATATATATATATATATATATATATATATATATATATATAATATAAAGACCCGGTAGGCTAGGGAACGGGATAGAGGGTGCCCACATCCCTCGTGACTCATTGGAGCAGAGGAAGATAGGACTAACGCTAACATTACTTAAACAAAATCCCACATCATCACTCATCACCATCATTATTTCTAAAATCACCATTGCTCTCAGATCAATGACTTACATCTATAATCATGGAATCTCTATCAGTAACAGTTACTTGTCACACTACGTATGCACGTAATGCACTATTGGACTTTATCATACGCACTTTTTTCTACAAATCAGATAGCGTCTATCTCATATAAATTGGCAAAGGATAAAAAAAGAAGTCAAAATGTCTCTGCTTATAGCAGCACAGGATTCACAACCGTCTCACAAGTAGAATGACGTACTCTCCACACAACACATCACACATCACACAGCACATCACACAATACATCACACAACACATCACACATCACACCACTCATCACACATCACATCACACCATATCACAGATCACACATCACATCACACAAGAATATACACACCTGATCCTGTAGCTGTGCCCACAATCCAACCCTAGGGAAGAAAGAAATAAAAGGTAATCTATATTCACAATATACATGGAACGTATACGTTATAACACTCATTGGTACCAACTTTCGTTAAATCAGGGGTTATCAAGAAAACTAAAGAAAAGTAGAAAGGTGAAGCCAGAGTGAGCTAGATATTTAACACACATAAACTCTCTTCGATCTTGAGACTAATATGCCTCGACATCCAGAGATCTCATTTTGGCAATGTCCACACAACAAATAGCCTACCTATTCTAACATTCTGCCCAAAAGGCCCTCATTCTACAATTATCAAAAATCAAGAATAGGCCATTCATCCCTGAGAGGTTTGTTTCATTGGTCAATACAACGCTTGGGTTAGTAAGATCAGTTAGAGTTAGACTATTGTTCAGAACTAATGAAATTGGTCACCTCAAGGTAATACTGTCGGACAAAATTGTCCAACCCAACCGACTATCCATCCTTTGACATTTATCCACCCATTTCCTTTTATGCCGGCCAAAGAACTCAAAAGAACATTTATTTTACCGTGTTCTGAATTGGAGGGCCCTTCGACCCTATAAAATAACTGACAGGGAGAGGGTTAAAAATATACCCTCTCAAACATGCCTCCGTACTCTTATCTAAAAATCAGGACCACTAACCAAACAACGATTGAAGGATAACTTTCTTTTGAGAAAAAAATCTTTGACACTTCTTTTGTAGTCTGTACACTGCACGTCACTGTCACTCATTATGAATAACTCTTTTAAGGAACAGAGAGAGAGAAAAGAGAGAGAGAGAGAGAGAGAGAGAGAGAGAGAGAGAGAGAGAGAGAGAGAAAGAGAGGGGGAGAAAGAGAGTTGCAAAGAGACTGGGAAACTGGACATCTAACACAAGAAGCATCACACCAGGGTTGCTAACAGGGGTCAGCACTCAAAATTCAACATATGAGATTCGATGGCTTTAAGACAAAAGGAAGACCAAGAAAATGATGGGTCTACGGAGTCAAAGTCACCGTCAAAAGGAGCAACATGACGATCCAAAGAGCAACACACGTGGTCCACGTATAACAGTAGCATGCCACCTCGCCCCTCGACAACTTGCGGTACAAGAGCATCACACCAGAGCAGAAAAAGTAAAAGAAAAGTAAGTACTTACCAAGCTGACACAAAAGAGGAACATCACACTCAAAGTCCCACCTCCCATGACTTGGGTAAAAGCAGACATGAGAATCTAGACCTCAAGTTTGAGACCAGTCTGTCACTGTCTTGTATACCTCTGAACAGTTGGTCTTGGCATGGAGCAAACAGTGTAGTGTCGCTACGGACCAAAATGTTGGAATCACTTCAATTTTGAAAAGCCAAATTACTTAACGGTAAAGCCTCTCCAAACTGCTCGTGTCAACTCTACAGATGGAACTCTTTCCAGACGAACACAGACACGTAGTTGATTTTCCAGGTTTCATGTAAGAAACAACAGAAACAGCCGTTCTTCAACTCTTGTATCCCGCCTCTCACAGCCCGAAAGGCTGTCATTCACCAGAGACCGATCAAAGCAAACAGAATCTTGAAACAGTTCTTTCATCACAATATGAGTGTCTTCACAAGCAGGCTTGACACGAATTGCTTAACTTTAGAAATCAAGTCCCGGTCGACAGGTATCTCCTTTCCAGGTACCTAAAGGTACAAACCTAGCTATGGCTGCCACAATCAAGACTTTACTTCCTCGTTGGGATCCACCCACGGCGTCGTATGACTCGAATGTACCTTTCTGTATTCGTGACTGTTGTGTCACTTCCTTTATCCAGTGTTTTAAAACAGATCAGTCGCTTACTTGAATAGCCGCCAAGCACTTTTGTGACGAGTTCCGATAAGGGCGTGTCACCTTGACCTATACAGAGATTATTTCATATCTCACAGACTTGCACTTCTAGGTTCCGCGCTGTCATGGCAGCTGCTCTTCGCCCTCCACGAAAAACTTCGCCGCGAAGCGTGCTCACCGTGGTCGGCGCCATTGATCCCTAAACTAAGGGCAAAACACCAGTCTTGCTACAGCCAAGACCACGAAGCACCTTTCTACACATGAATCAGTGGTTACAGTGTGAAAGAATATCGGCTTCTCTCTCTATAGCCTACTGCATTATTGTTGATTGTCATTAGCTGTCGAGACTTTATTACGAGCAATAATGAAGTAACAATTTGGGATGTTGCTGCTGCGCCTCTCGCTCTTTTACAAATACCAGTAGGTATAGAGTGGGTGATGTTATTTCGGCTGTCTGTTGTTGTTTGTTTGTCCATGTGCCTTGCTTCCTGGTACCGCTCCCTCAAGTTCAATGAATTTTATGACTCGCTACTTCCGGGCATTTTACTAAGATAGGAGAGTACATAGAGTGGAGGCCAAGGCTTTGAATGTAAGTTAGTTGTAGCGTAGACGTGAGGTAGAAAGGACGTAGAAACTTTTAGGGGAGTGCCTTCTAAATAGTGAGTTAAACTACTGTTGTTGAACTCGGTGTTTGTTTTAATTTGAGTATACCTTTATGAACCCACACAAGTACACCACAGGAATAATTATGAGATGGTATATGAGTGAGTATATGTGTTGGTAAATGAGTGGGTGGGGTGTGGGGGGGAGGGGGGGTAGAGACACCACATGCAACATACGATTGTAATAATTTATAACGCCAGACTTCTCTTTGCGTGCGGGGTAGATGGTATACCTGTTTTGGAAGATAACAGACCTGTCGTTAAATAATGTGGCAGTAGCAGCATGCTTTCCAACAAACTTTGACATAGTACCCTGATAGATAAGGGCTTAAGCGTGTACGCTATTCTCGGAAAATTGCAGTAGATCGACAGTCTAAAGGATCTAGCCAGAACTGTCATTACAGCAAAATTTTACAACGCTTTACTGTAAGTTGTGTGGGAAGAAAACACGAAACGCAACAATGTCAATCGTAGCGACGTCCGCTTTCAAACAAAGAATGGGATGCCTGTAGGTATATTATAAACGGGACAAATTAAACTACCACAGGTTGAAGATAGTTAAGGGCTTAGTAAATGGGATGGAGTAGGATCTTAACATCGTTGGGTTGGTGAGGATTAATGCTTTCACCTGCATTCTTTTTTATTTACTGCTTTGATTTCGAGAACTATACATATACTTTTACATATATATCTGTTAGCTAAAAATGAATTTCGTTCATCCTGCTTTATGTATGTATAGTATAAGGTTTTACGGCGCTCGCAACTGCTAAGGTCATATGAGCGCGCGAAACACAAGTTGTTCACCTCTGCGAAAGTTCACTTCACGACTGGCTAACTAATTTACTTTAAAATGCTAAAAAGTTAAAATATTCAAATTCGGTGTAAATACATTTGTGATCTAAAACAACTTTTAAGTAACAATAAAAATTTTTAATAATATCAAATTCACTCTACAACTTGTCATAAAGGCCAATGGCCTTTATAAAATTTTTAATTCTGCTGGGAACAACGACGGAAAAAATATCCTGCAATTTCTTGCATTTATAATATTTCTTTCGGATCTCTCCAAAGTCTAGACATTCTGTTAAAATGTGTCTAATGGTAAAATCTGTGTCGCATCCGACACAGAACGGCTTCTCATCTCCCTGTAGGAGGTATTTGTGGGTCAAGGCCGTGTGTCCGATGCGCAATCGAGTAAAAATGACTTCGTCTCTTCTGGAGAGATCCGAAGGATTTCGCTGTTCTAGTTTGGGTTTAATTTCATATAATTTATTATTTTTCTGGTTTTCCCAGTGGCTCTCCCACAGACTGGAGGTGTACTTTTTGACTTTATTTCTAAAGTCAGTCTGTGGGAGAGTGTTTGTCGTTGATCCCAGCAGAAGGGATGAAGCTTTCTTCGCCAGTTCGTCCACCTGCTCGTTTCCTCGGATGCCCACATGGCCGGGTATCCATGCGAACATGATGTTTTTTCCTGTTTCGGATAGTGTATGAATTTTCTGTTGTAGCCTAACTATTTTTGGGTGTAAGAGTGTGTAGTTTGTGAGTGAGGTGATGCAAGACAGAGAGTCAGAAAGGATAAGGAAAGATTTGTTAGGAGAATTTTCTACAGAGTCCAGTGCCATGTCAATGGCAGTGGCCTCCGCAGTGAAAATGGAGGCTTCAGGATGGAGTCTCCTCTGGTGCGTATTGTTGGGAGATAGGGCTGCGGCGCCCACTTCATTGTCTTTTTTGGAGCCATCTGTGAAGATGAGCTCCGCACCGGGGTATTTATCTATTAGTTTTTTGTATTCTGTTTTAAAAGTTTTGGTGTTTGTGCTTTCTTTGTTGTGCGTGGTCAGCTGTAAGTCTACTTTTGCCTTGGTGAGGTGCCACGGAGGGAGGTCGGGGGAATTTGTTGGATGTCTTGTTTGGAAAAGTGTAAGTTTTTGAGGTCCTCAAGGATTCTGAGGCCGAAGGGTTTGATGAGTTTTTCGTTGTTTTGGAATTTGTTTATGGTTTCTGGGTTTGTTTCGAAAATGCTGTTGTGAGCTGGATTTTCCGGTGTTGAGCTCTGTTTTACTGCGTATTGTAGTGAGAGTTGTGTGCGTCTGAGTGAGAGTGGTGGTATGTTGGCCTCGGCCTGGAGGCTCTCTACCTGCTTTGGAACTGAAGACTCAAGTAATAATACTTTCACTACTCCACTCTACACTATTGAAAGGCACAACTCACAATCAACAGACGGTGGCCTAACTTACTATACCACGTTCACCTGGCCCAAGTTCACGGTCACAGAGTCGGAGCAAGACCTAAATTTAAAAGGCCTAGTGGCAAGACAATGAACCTATTGTGATTCATTTGAGCACCCGCTGGATTGCTCGGAGGTTTACATGTTATTAGCATATAGATCTAGAATCGAAAGTACATTCTGAGATTGCCGGGGGGGGGGGGGGGTAGACTGCTGAATGTGAGCTATGCATCGACAAGAGCACGGCTTGGGATGTGCCGTCTTATTAATATTAATGTGCCTCCCAACTCGCTTCGAGTGTCGTCATCGCTTGGATATCCCAAAGAGTGATTTTTAGGTCAGATCACCACTGCTGAACATCCTATTATGTTTAGTTAACCCTATCCGTACCCCCTGGAGTCAATTTGTACCCTGGGGTTGTATTCTTCACATTTTAGAATACCTCTAGTACGAAGATCTCTTTGAAACTTTCAGCAATTCTCATAAAATCATTTTGACAGACTGCTATGCCAAGCGCACAGATCGGATTAACGAGCAAATGTCCTATATGGAAAGTGGTAGCACAGAGTTCCCCACGCCATATGGATACGATAGTAAAACACGACGTACGAATAGGACGTTGGCATGGCATAGTCATATTATTATATTTTAAGGCGCTATGAAAACAGCAATGGCCGCTGAGGCACCAGCGAGGACTTTTTATTCATTAAAGATTTGGCTAGTGCTTGTGGTGGGCTTTTTTTCTTTTCTGTTTGTGAGTGCTTTACGAAACAGAATAACATTTCAAAAGTTTGGGCTGCACTGCACGGTCGTGCTCCACTCTTTGGACTATCTGCGCTCTCCTGGCCTAGAGGTTAAGGTGTTGGCCTTCCATTCAAAGGTCCCGGTTCCGAATCCGGGTAGCGACCGAAACATTTTTTTCTCCCAAATTGTCTCCTTTCACCTCCTTTCCTGCTCTTTAGCAATGCTTTGTTGTCAGCTTTCGTCTCCTCTTTCTGACACACCCCCTCACCTCCTTTGTCCCCTCCTCTGGGCTCCTGACTCTTTCTGTAGCCTTTCTGCTGCTACTCCTTGGCTCCTTCTTACTTCTGTCTTTCAACCACACCCCTGATCTTCTGGTAGGAAAGATCTACACCTGCCTTCTCGGGAAAGGGCAAAAAATTTCGAAGGGCCCGTGTGCAAGTTGCGCACGTTAAAGATCCCTTGGTGGCCTAAAATCGATAAGAGTAGACTTCGGCCGCCACCCGGGAAAATTTCAAAATTTCCTACCAACTGAAAAAGTTTAACGTGTCCCGCGCGCTCATATGACCTTATGCAGTTGCGAGCGCCGTAAAACACTTGCCCAAAAAAGAAAATAAGTAAGTTTTTTAAAAAATGTTTTTAAGAACCGCGCCTGTCCCAAATGATTGCCCTCCACTGAAGCAGCGTGCCAAGTGCCCAGAAAACCACGGAAACTCTTTTGGCCTAAAGTTAAACAAACCAAGTTAAGACAGACTCAGTCGCAGACTCAAATCAGGGCAGCCCTCGTCGCAGTCCAGCATGGTACTAACAGACTTAGTAGCACCCCTTGAAAAAAAAGAGTTTGTATAAATGTGGTAGAGCACTAGGCTGAGTGAAGAGAAGTACATCGAAAGAAAGCGGGTGTGGCTGACAGACAGCAGAAAGAAGGAGCCAAGGAGTAGGAGTAGCAGTAGAAAGGCTGAAAAAGAGAACTGGCAAAACGGGGGGGGGGGGGCTGAAAGTGGAGATGAAAGCAGACGAAAGTTCGGTACATGATTAGAGAGCAGGAGAGGAAGGGAAATGAGAAAATTTTACAGAAGAAAAATGCCTGTCCCTGTCAGGTTTCGAACCCAGGACCTTTTGAATGAGAGGCGAACACCGTAAACTCTAGACCACGAGAGCCCCCGTGTCTCTGCTTGAGATATTGTGTTTTGTTCTTGCTTTTATGTGGAAGTTATTGTGTATTTATTTTTATTTAACGTAAACATTTTCAAAGAGGTGACAGCAAGACGATCGTCAATATATTGTGTAAGATAAGTTGCGATTGTCTCTACGACAGTTGAGAACAATACAATAATAATATTATCGTGATGGTTTAAGCATTCAGCTCCAGGTTGTCGTGCTCATGGTGTACGGGTAGCTAGC